AACTTATTGCCGCTCTTCGTGGCAGTGCGAGCGAGGAGGCGCTGCACACTCCTACAACTGCTGGCCTAACCAAGGGTGAGATGGAATACTCCAAAACTTTTACTGTTGTGGGTCTGGCTTCTTCTTCTGATGAAGCTGCTGAAATTGCCTCCATGCTTGCTAAGGAGGTTCTTGATGCTGGGGTTATTCTGGACCCAAAGTCTAGGGAAATTGCAAACCTCAAGCAAATGGTGGTGTGTATTCGTCAAGAGGTAGAACATCACCAGAATATATTCGACTTCTATCATGGAGAAGTCGAACGAGTGAAGGACCTCCTGTCCTTTATAAGGAGGAAGCTGGCTAGGGTCACCAGGAAAATCTGCCTTGGGGTGTAATGTCCTAAGGTGTAAGCAGGTGGAGCTTCTTTTTCCTCTTCTTACTTTTTCTCCTTTTTTTTTTTCTATTTTTTTTTCTTATGTAAGGCCTACTATCAATGAATCTTCTTTGGGTTATTAATGGCTTGCCCTGCATAATTTTGCATTCTGCATCATACTCCTGCATCTTTTGGATATGCATATTGTTTCGTATGCCACCGGTTTACCCTCCTACTTTCTTGCCTATTTCATGCAAGATAAGCTCGATTTTGAAATTTTCACCCTCTTTTCAAACAATGCCAAGGGCAACTAGGAAATGCGATAATAAGACAAAAACGGCTTTTCATACTCCACGAGGTGTATTTTGATAACATGTCCATAAGCCATCATTATCCCACCATCAGGACTCTTCAGTTTCAATATGAGGAGGCCATGCATCATATTGCTCTTTTAAAACACCATCCCTTCACATCATTTCATCTCCATGAGTTCTGAGGCTTGTTCTCCAATTTTCTAGGATATTAATAGATTCAACCCTTTGATCTTTAAATCTCTCAGGGTAAGTTTTTTCTTTCTTTTCATCCATGTTTCTTTACATTGTTCTGCCTGCAATCTTTTTTTTTCTTCCCCTAAGCATATGCTAATACCGGAAAGAGGATTTAATATCTTTAGGATCGATTTCCCCTATTTGTTTGGGTTTGATGTTTCCAAAAGCATGATTCGACCTTCAATCTTTTGGTATCAGGGGATTACCTTTGGTTTTCAATACTTCTTAGGAGATTTGATCAGACTTTGTTCAACTCCCTTTTGGTGTTCTTTCAGAGTCAGGCTTAAATCTTCTTAATGTGTTGGTTTGTTAGCCAAAAGGCTTCCATTGAATCCCTTTGATAGACTATGGCACTAAAGCCAGCTGTTTCCAATTTATTAGGCTTTAGATCTATGCTTGTGATGTTCTTGGTTACCTTTGCTCATTAGTCTGATAAGAGCATCGATTTCCTTCTGAGTTCAAAGGTTTAGACATTGTCCTGATCCATGAATCCATCGGGTGTAGGTTTAAAAATTTTGAATCCTGATTGATATGAGTAGGACCAGAGAGTCGTACCTCGATCCGAGCCATAAAGGCATTGCTCGTAGGTTTAAAAAACTTATGGAGTCATATCTTTAATCTTTCGGTCATATAACCTCTCTTTTCTTTTGCTTTGCTGCATACATCACGCGCTTCATTCCTTTCCCAAAGGAAGATGAAAAATGGAAGAAAAAGTTCACCGACATCTCAGTATCTAGGAACTCTCCCGTGTGCCAATTTGATGGTAAGTTTCCAATACACCTCTCATGGCTTGGAGACATCAACTTTTTGGTGAACCAAGTTGAATGCGGGGAATTTAGACCCAACTTCTATCATGCCTTCCCTCAAAGAGATCTCCTTCTTCATTTCTCTCATGTGAATACTACCAAGCGTGAGACCTCCTAGGGCTTAAAATCCGTGACTATAAGGCTTCTTGGTTAGAAGCAGGCTTCAGATGTGATGCCGAGTGCGGGTCCATCTGGGGCTATTACTCCTGGACCTAGGATGTATGGAAGTAATTTCCTGCTCTTCTTGAAAGTGCAGGGCTTCTTGGTGCCTGCGCATGCTCGGCCTTTCCATACGACCACCGTTCAAACATCGTGCGAGTCTTCTTGAAGACCTGGTGTGCTGAAACCAACATCAACTTCTTCGGCTATGGAGAGAGCAGCATATCTCTCTTGGAGTTGTACTTCATTAGTGGCCTCTCCCTTCTGGGAGAGCGTTATGAGGAATTCACCCCAGAAAATGGCATCATCTTCGGGAATGTTTCATATCCTGAGCTTTAAAGGCCCAGTTGTTTAAGAAGTGTAATACATGAAATTAGCTGCTGTGAGCGATAATAAAGACATTTTTTTTAAAATTTGGATCAACCACTTCTTCAACATAGAGAAGGCTAAAGGGGAGCCAAATAATCCCCTCTACAATGGTTATGAAACTCCTCTCCCTCTAACTGTGCCGATGCCTTATCGTCCTGACGTCTGTGACCAGCTATTTGGCGCCCTACATCACTTTGTTCTTATGCCACTTCGCACTTCCAAACTCTAGATGCCATGTGGTCAAATCAGAGTGTTTATATGCTACTTGCAATATGGCCAAAGGCCATAGATATGATGTAGCTCAGCCCTTGCTGTGTTGCATCTACAATAGGCTAACCTCTGCAGCGGATCCTGAGATGGTTCTGGGAGATGCCCGAACTCCTTTCCCTATCCATTACTTTTATGGTTGGTTTGGTGCCTACTTTTTGGGCACTTATAACTATTCTTTAACCTTCAATATCGACACCTTCCCTTTCTTGCTCTGCCTGATGGGCTGCAGGGTGGTCTCCCATTCATCTGTCCAAGCAAAGAGATTGTTTTGGGAGGATAATTTCTTTTGATTCAAGCCTTTTCCCGTCGGGAGTACCCGAGAAGGACTCTTCACTAATGAGTATGCCCTTGGGATTAATCCGAGGACCCCAAGTATTGATTAGGAGGTTATGTCCCTCATGAAAATCTGTGGGTATTTACTTCCTTTGAGGGTGGGCAACCGTAGGTTGATTGAGCCCTACTACCCTCATCGCTTATCAAGATAACATCGGATGGACCAAGGTTGTCATGTTCTCTATGACCTTACCAAAGCATGGGTCCTGGTCAAATCTGCATGTGAAGTCGGCATGTTACTCCTGGACATTGCTGGGTTAATCTTGTCGGTTCATCATTTCCGACAACCATCGAAAAGTCTTCATGACCCTCAACTAATATTCTTGGTATCAAGAACATCAACGATGGTTCTTCCAATGTCCTATTGACTGTATGCCTGACTTTCGAGACAATGAGAGTCATGGTACTCCTCGAACTCACTTCAAAACAAAGTGCAAGAGTGTTCCGTCAAGCTGGGCACCCAGGTTGTGCTTCGTCGAAGACTAGAACGTGATAAGCGCTGATCAGCCTCAGGGTGTGGTTGTTCCAGAAGGGGTACTTGAGGAGACTCAAACCTCCTTTTGTCATCACCTTGATGACTTATTGGCTCCTAAGTGGAAGACCTCAGGGCACTCTCATCAGCCACAGGACTATTAGAAGATAAGAGGAGGATCTGGCGGACCTCACCAGGTCCTTGTTTTATTAGTCGAAACTAGGAGCGATAAGTCATGGAAGGGTCTAGATGCTCCATCAAGCAAACTTCCATCTGAGCACAGGAGGGAGAGAAAGAAAGAGGGGTCAAGCCCTCCTTCTGTTCGAGAAGCTTGGTGGAAAGGAAAATGGGGAAGGGACATTCCCTCTCACCCATCGTTCTGAAAGAAACCAGTGGAGCTCGTGATTCGAGCCGAAAGTCTAGAGATCAAGGGTCGAGTGTGGCTCATGATATCGTTCCTTTGGCCAAGAAGGCCTTTATTTTAGACATAATCCTGCGGGTGGCTCTGGAGTCTGCTGACACAGACTCTCAAGGTAAGAGGAAGCCAGACGACTCTTCTCCTTTTAAGAGGTCCTCCAAGGCAAAGAATTCAGACCTCCAGGAAGAAACCAGGAAAACATCTGCTACTCCTCCACCATGGACAACTTCGGCCTTGGCCATTCCTAGCAAAATCATGTGGAGCTCTATCGCTAGGGAAGCTCCTTTTGAGCCAGGGATTCGTCAGAAGGTGATGACTAGAAAATCTTCAAAGCCAGAGGTTATTGAAATATATTCCTTTTCCTCTCCAGACTCTCCAGCTCTAAACTCAGAGGTGTCTAGAGAAAGTTCTCCAGTTATTGGTGAGAGAACGGAGGCCGAGGAAATGAACTTCAGTGGATCAAGAAGATGTTCTTATTGATGCCTTGACGGGACTTGGCCCTTCCCCAGGGTCAAGTGAGAGCTCTTCTTCTGATCATAGTAGGATAGAAAGTTCCCCTTCGAAGATTGAACCCGCGGTGGATGAACTGAGAAAGGCAAAAGAAAAAGCACACACTGAGGAAAAAGATCCTCTAGTAGTTGACTCATCAACTGTAGTTGTTGTGTTGAAAGAGGGCTCGTTAGATACATATTACTCACCGAAGCTGACGTAAATGCAGGGCTTGCGATGGTCCAAAGTATATTGGATAGAGTCAGAACTTCCAGCTTCGCTAGTCAGGATTGACAGGACCAAACTTCCAGGTATTTGGAAACTCCTCTTTTATTCTCTGAGAAGGACCTAATCAATCCAGTTTCTATTCCTTACTTTTCCATTGTGATTTCAAGTCCAGTCTTCACTCAGACCACAGACGGGGTTAGGATTCAGGCTACTCAAGCCGCTCCTGATACTGTTGTGCCGCAAGGAGCTCCAAAGGAGGATGTTGCTGCCACTGTGGCAAGCGCTGAAGCTGTAAGCTCTGTAACTCACCTTTCGGGTACTGGATTTGGAAAGGAGTTGAGATCAAGGTTCCCAAGGTATCGACAACTACCAAATTCCCTAAGGTGCTAAAGAATGATTCCCTAGAGGACTTGGTTGCGCTTGCTGAGGATCCCGAGAGCTTTGTAGAGTTTAAAAGCCAAAGAGAAAAGAAGAAAAGCATCCGAGAGGAAGCACAATTCCTTTTCAAACAACCACATAATTCAGAAAGAAAGAAAGAAAAAACATTGAAGATGATTCAAAAGCTCTTGAAGATATGCAGGAGTTTCTCCAACCTTCGGGTCTTCTTTCTCACACGCTGCTTGGTTGTCTCCATGTCTGCCATCATCTTTGCAAGGCCCTCTTCAGCAATGGAGGCTATAGATGTTACCTTATCCGATCGATGAAGCTGGTCGGTAACCTAAGGGTAGGAGATGTTCACTCTTTCGGCAAGATGACATAAATGGATCACGACCCTCTTTAGTTCCCTCTTTTGTGCCTATAGTAGGGTCTCAGGTTTATCAATGAAGTTTAGAATTAAGGTCTTGCGACCTCCGCTTGATCATATTGGTCACGACGATTCTCCACCCAGCTTTGAACGACCTCTTAACCCTGCCTTGTTTTTATAGATGCTTCTTCGAGCTTAGCATAGGCTTCTTCTCCGTCACTTATCAAGATAGGGAATGTATGAGCAAGTTTCTCTTGGTCAGAAGCTATGACTTAGGCATCATGAGTGACCTAGTCAATTAGCTATCGGAGCTCTCTTCATCAGCTCCCATTGACCTGACCCATAATATCACCTAAGTGATTGTTGAGGAAATCTTTTGAAGGTTAGATTGTTCCCAATCGCTCTGATGGGTGTTCTCACTACACTTACACTTATCTCCCTATGAAATTTACCGATTGAAGAAGGATCTTTGAGCATTAACTCTACAAAGCTCTCGAGATCCTCAGCAAGCGCAACCAAGTCCTCTAGGGGATCATGCTTTAGCACCTTATGTTTGACGTAGTAAAAAATGCGTGCTAATTGGCGAGACGCTGCATAAATTCCTTTGAGGGTATCTGAACTTCCAAAGGTAGCACCGCTTCTGCCCCATAGACCAACGAATATGGGGTTGCTAAAGAAGCATTTTTTTTAGTCATTCGATAGGCCCAAAGAGCCTTGGGGAGTCTTTCGTGCACTAACCCTTCTTTACGATTTTTTTCAATACCTTGTAAAGGCTTTTGTTAAAGGCTTTGGCTTGTCCATTTTCCCTGGGATTGTATATGGAAGGATACCTCCAGTCGATATTAAATTGACTGGTCAATTGGCCAATGTGATCATTCTTAAACGGAGAGCTGCTGTTGGAAATAATCCTTTTCGGTACCCCAAATTGATACACAATATGGTGACGAACAAAATCAGCCACTATCTTGCTAGTGACTCTTCGTAGTGAGACAGCTTCAGCCCACTTAGAGAAGTAATCAGGAGATGCCAATATATATAAATGGCCATTTGCTGATGTTGGGGTAATGGGTCCAACGATATCCATTCCCCATTGAGAAAAAGGCCAAGCTATAAGAGTGGGATGCAACAATTCTGATGCTTGGTGAATGTAGTCGGCGTGGATTCGACACGCGTGACATTTCTTTGCATATTTAATTCCATCTTTAGTCATAATGGGCCAGAAATACCCCATGCGATGCAATTGGTGGTATAACCTGGGTCCAAACTGGTGCATGCTGCATACCCCATCACTCACTTTAAAGCTGCTTGTCCTTCCTCATATGAAATGCACCTTAGCAACATTCCATCATATGACCTTCTATATAGCTAATCATTGAGGAGGGTAAATCTTGTGGCTCGCCTTTTAAGGGCCAGCTTGTCTTTTCTAACCTCATGGAGTTGGCCACACTCCAGGAAATGTTAACGCTAATCTAACTAGAGGTCCTCTGCCACTCAACGATGTCATCAAGGGCAGGTTCCTTGATCAATTTCTGCATAGCTCCTTGAGGGTAGGGAGGAAATCCCATCCATAGGTTTTCTTTGTCTTTAGAATCTGCCTCCACCATCACAGGGACAGATCGCCATTCTTGGATGGGGATTTGAAGTGGTACCCCGGGCTTGATGATCATGGCTACACTCAGCTTAGCTATTGCATCAGCTTGAACATTTGATCCTCGGGGAATATGGGTCCGAGTGGCCTCATATATCTTTCCCAGGAGGTATCTTGCGGTGTTATAATACGACTTAAGCTCATCCTTGCCGACTTCATATATCCCCTTTAGTTGTCAGAAAATCAGCTGGGAATCACCAAAGATGTCGAGGAACTCTAGGTCTAGTTCTAGCGCCATGTCTAGATCGATGATCAACGCCTTCATTATTTGAGCATTTCTCATTTAATGAGAAAGCATAAGGCAAAAGTCCTTTATTCAATGTGACGACTATTACGTCTGCTTCATCTCCTTTTGCTTGGGAGCACCATCAAATAACATTTTCCATGAGGCAATCTGATTTGCACACATGACTTCCGCATCAGGCAAGTCTTCAATCAAAGGGACCCTTCAAGCAAGGGATGAGCGGCCAAGAAATCGGCCAATGCTAGCCCTTTGATAGATTTTTGTGGGGCATAGGTGTTATAAATCACTTTTGATGTACTTGTATCCCCAAGACGAATAATGAAAGAGTCGGTGGTAACCAGGTCCTGCCGGTGCCCAAGACGCCGCTAGATCATGGGAAGATTGTAACAATAAGCCTAAAATTGGGCGATCCCTAAAGAAGTGTCAAAATGGACTTAGATTTTGTGATAGGGTATTTTTGGATACCCTAAGAACACCCGTAAAGTTTCGTCTCATTTTGACAAGTTTTGAGTTGATTAGAACAAAACTGAGTTTTCTAATCCAATTCATTTCATGCTAAAAATAGATTCTATAACTATAGCCCTATTTTTTGGGTCTCAAAACGGTATCATACCACCTCCATTGGATCTGAAATATTGAAAAACCCTTAGGTACCAAATTTCGGCTCAATTGGACCCTTCGAGACCATTATGGACCTAACTAACCATAAAAGGATGGGCTTTACACTATTGCGATGCAGCCTTGGTGAACCAGTTTCCATTTATAGAAATTGTGTTTCTCATTTTGGGATGATTTTCAAATGCTTATAACTTGCTCTTTTTGGGTCCAATTAAGCTCAAATTCGGACACAAGCTAGATCTCAACGATACGCTCTTTTTGACATATGGCATAGATCATGAGGTGACCCGAAACGAGAGAATGTCTATAGAGAAGATGAGCTCTAAACATGAAAATTCAAATTTTAAAAAGAAGAACATCCAATTCTTTGAGAGGCCATTGCTCAAGATCCCAATGTCGGATCGTCGCATGTATGGGTTTGTTACGACTGTGCTTTAAAGAGCTACAGCTTGAATTAGTTTTTGTGTAAGATCGGAGGTCAGATGACATGGATTTAGAGGTCAAAGAAAGCATACCTTTTCGGTCGCTGGAATCCCATTTCTAATGACTTCCCAAAATTGGAACGTGCTCTAACGGAGACCAAAATGGACAAAATTTATCACAAAATGATCGTGATAGTATCATCTTCAGTTTGTGATCAAAATGAAGGCTTGGAACATCATAGATCGTGCCGGATTGGTAGTCGAAGAATCACAAGTTTATGAAGCTTGGCCGGATTTTGGGTTCTTCCTTAAAAATCCATTTCAAGATGACCAAATGATATTAAAATGTGCACAATAGTTCAAGCATCGATTATATGATAATTGATCACCCGAATTACCACTGTAAGCATTTAAAAAAGATCCCAAATTCTAACAATGGCAAGAGGCCCCTCATGGAGTGATGGTTTTGTCATTTGTTGAAAAGTGCTTAGGGGTATTTTGGTCATTTGGTCTAAAAACGGAATTAATATTTTAATTCATAAAATGTGTATTTTTTTTATAATTTTGGATGTTTTTTTAGCATTCCACCATTTTTGTGGTTGCTCTATCTAAGGAACTCAAGTCATTTGTAATAACTCTCCTGGTCATTGGTAATCAAGCTCTTGAATTCTTGAGCATTTGAAGTAAATTCTTCAATTCGTAGTCATTTGTTATTGCTTGTTCTTTTGCTTTGCTTTCAAGTTCAAGACTCAAGATGAGAGGAGAGCGAAACATATCCTAGAGAGAGAAAATACCCCAAGGAACCCTTCACTCTATAGAATCCCACAATTCCAATTTCTTTAGGATTTCCAACCCTCAATTCCATACTCCCTAGAACTCCTAGTTCCCATACAACTTAGAACCCCTAGCTCCCAATCCTACACTATACACCCTACACCCTACCTTAGCTTGCCTACACCCTAGCATGCACCATACACCATAGTGCACCATACACCTTAGCCTATCCTATACATTTTAGCTAGCCTATACCATAGCATCTTATACTCCTTAGTTAGGCTATACCTTAGCCTGCTCCATATACCCTAGTTCCTATACACCATACCTCAACCTAACCCACCTAAGCTAGACACCTAGACATTAGACCTTAACTTCAACGTTTACCCATGACTAAGACCTCTCTCTTTTTCTCTTTTTATTTCTCTCTCGTCTTTTTCTCTCTCTTTTTCTCTTTTTTCTTTTTTGTAGTGCTTTCTCTATCTTCTTTCTCTCCCTCTCTCTTCTCTCTCTCTCTCTCTCTCTCTCTCTCTCTCTCTCTCTCATACCCAAGGCGGGTTCAGCCCTGGGTTCGAGCCCCCCTCCTCCCCTTCTCTCTTTCTCTCTCTCTCTCTCCCTCTTCTTCTCTCGTCCATGCACAGACCCACACCTAAGGCACGGCCGGCCACTCCCTATCTCTCTCGTCTCTTTCTCTCTCCTCTCCCTCGGGTTACAGACCCGTACCTCAGGCGGATCCGCCCTTCTTTCTCTCTTTTCCCTCTCTCAATCTCTTACTCTCTCTACCCTAATCTGCCCCTCTCATCTCTCTACTCTCCCGTGCACCCTTCTCTCACTCTACTCTCCCATCCACCCCTCATCCCTCTTCTCGCGTCTGCCCTCTCTCTCACTCTACTCTCCCATCTGCCCCTCATCCATCTTCTCTCATCTCCTTTCTCTCATCAGGACCTCTCTCTACCCTATCCGCCCCCTTTCTCATCACACTCCCCTATCCACTCTACTCTCACCACACTACCTCTATCCGCCCTACTTTCACCACATTCCCTTATCATCCCTACCTTCATACTCACCGTATCTGCCCTACTCATCACACTCACACCTTATCCGCATTACTCTTACGCTCGCTCTCTCATCTCCCCTTAGAGTCCAAACCCACACCAAAGGCAGGTCCATAATCCCTTGACCCCACTCACCTATCTTCCGTCTTTTTTTTTTACCACTCTCTTCTTTCTCTAAATCATATCTTAACTTCTTATTCATTTTGCTTTGTTTTGTTTTTACTTCATCATTCTTTTATTTCTCTCTTTAGTCATCGATTCTTTCACCTCTTGAGCACTCGATTCGTGGTCGTCCTGAGATAGTGCCCTAGGGTTCTAACTCTAAGATTGTTACTCTAACCATCAACTCGTACAGTGAAGTCGAGTCATAAGAGACACTGATTCTCTTACATTCGGTCACTTAGGTTGGGTCGTTCTGAGTTAGCTTTCTTTAGAGTTCCGATCCTTTCACTACTCTAAGCACCGAGTCATACAGTGTTCGGGTTGTGAGAGACTTTCATCTCTCTCTCTCTCTCTCTTTTTCTCTTTCACTTTCTTCTTTCTCTTGATCACTTTTAGGGGGCTTTTTGGTTTAGTGACATAGTTATAGGCTCAGTCCAGTAACTCCACTTTCTAAACCCTCTAGGTACCAAGGCTTCGTACCTAGTACTTTTCTGTTTCTCCGGTAATACCTTTTAAGAAAGGCTACGCCGGGAGGCTGCCCAATTTTCTTTGGGTCATCCATTCACCCTTGTACTGCAACCCATAAGAATGCCTAAATCTTAAGAGGAACATGCCACTTCCACACTTAATGCAACTCTTTACTAGTCCATCTGGCACCGTCATGAAAGAACATCCAAGAGGCAGACCTCACATATAAAATTTCGTCAATTTCACTGTCCCATACGACCTCATCAAACTCATTAGGTAAGATATAAACAGTTTCCAAAAGCGATAAGAGGCTTTGTAGCTACAAGATAATAGAATCAGGCACCCCATTGCGTCACTGCGACCACCCCAGTTCCTAGCCACAACTACGCTGCTGCAGTCTTCAACACCACTACATACTCTCCATTACACCACTGCTGCAATGCAACTGAGCTAACACCACTAACATGGACACTCCTCACACATTGCCACTCCACAGTAAGTCTGTGTCATTTTTGTGCCACCACCTCCACCACCACTGCCTGACAACCACCAACACTACTCTGGCATCATCTCTACCATAAACTATCGCTGCCACCTCAATCACCACCATTAGACAACTGCCACATCTTACTGCACCGCCATCACTCATCTAGATCCACGTCTATAACCAAGTACTATTGTGCCACCGCCACT